ACTCTCTTTCTTGTTGACTTTTATGAACATCGATCGAGGTGTATTTTCCATCGTAAACAAAATACAGTTTTACGTATTCAAAGTCTGTTGTTCGTAAAAACTCGTGACTGCTCGATTCTATTGGTCCGGGTACGTATATCCTTATCATTTTCTACTTCCATTTTAAAGGTGTCTACATATTTACATTTTTCGTTTCAATTTCCTGATCACTTTTATCAATCAAACGTATATTCTCTTCCAAATTACCATCATTGAATAATGAAATATGTTTGACGGCCTTACCGGTTTGTTTGAAGACTACTTTGTTGACTTTAACCTTCATGGGAAACTCTATTTGAATCAGACAATTACCTCGAAGAGTAAACGCTTGCGTTTCGCCGATATCGAATACGTTTTTAGGTTCTCCGTATGCGAGAGAACCCACTTTTATTTCTGCTTTGAATCCGTATTTGTTTGATTTATAAATTTGGTCTTTTCTATTGAAGACAGTGTTTCTTTCGAATGGTAGATTGAAATAATACGATTTGTCCGTGACAATAGCTTCTAATTTGGTCAACTTTCTCTCTTGTCTCAAAAAATCGTCATGAATTCTAGATACCAAAAGATTGACCTGTTCTTTAATATAATTTTTCATATCATCTCGAAATTTATTTTGAAGAAAGTTTTTAATCACACCCACTTCTTTTTCTAATTCGTCCGTGATTTTAGTATCCAAAGCAGTCAATCAGTTTCAACGTATCTTTGTCTATGGGAAGTGTGTTAATTATATCTTGAACATCTGATTTTTGCTTCGCGATCTTTTCATTCAAATTGGATATCGAATTTTGTAACTCGGTTTTGTCCGCGGTCTTGTCTAGTTCTGCTAGCAATTCGCCAAGTTTTCTTTCCAAAGCTGTTAGTTTTCGTTTCAATCTATCCTCGTTTACATTTGGGTTGTCTATTAAACGTTGGACGTCTATTTTTACCTTCGTAATTTTATCGTCTAATTTAGATATTAAATTTTGCAACTGACTTGTTTTATCCACTTGAATAAGACGTTTCAAACTCGTTAACTCTTGTTGTAGTTTGGGTTCGTCCACAAGATTTTTAATATTTCGTCTGATGTATCTTTTCACATCATTTATTCTATTTTCAACATTGTCCTTATCTATTTGAATTGCGTTTATTTGATCCAGTAAATATTTCTTGTTCACGGCATCGTTATCGTTTCCTGGAAACTTTAAATTAGTTATTTTGAAATTGTTCATATCCCCTTGCAAGGTGTCTCCGATTTGATCCACGAAAAAAGGTTTCGCTTTGTTTATAAACGCCGTAGAACTAATGGGATTTTTAGATTCTAGAGGTAAAGACCCTAATCCAAACTTGTTTGCCATTTTTATTGAGTTAAATCTATTATAATTTCTTCAAACTTTTCTCTCTAACTCAACCGATATAAAACCCAAAGCGACAGTTGTCCACACAGCTTTTGTCCTGGCATTTGAATTTGAAACGTAGAACATTTGATTGGTTTGCTAGTCAATTTTGTATCTCTTCTGTCGGTTCTAGACCGAAAGAATCAAAGAAATAAAAGTTATTCGAAGAATCTTTGTGTAGAGCAGAGTGATGAACTCCTTTTTGATCCGAAGTATGAATGTTTGTGATGGCGTAAAATTTACCTTTTTTGTATTTCAGTTCATCAATTTCATCTCGCATGCAATAATAAAACGGCGAGACGTTCAACTCCTTGGCCCATTTCACAAGTTGAAAGTTTGTGGTCGTGTCTTTATCGAGAAATGCATTCATTTTTGAGGTGTTTTTCGAAGTAGGCGGTAAGTATTGCTGAAGACCCAATTGACGAAATATATATGTAGTTTGTGTTTGAAAAAACTTGTATAACATTCTGATAAAACACATTCAATAATATTTTGAAGATAAATTTACATTTAAATTTAAAAATCTTAATTTAAGAGAGCGAAAATGCCTGTCGACATCTAAATTTCTTAACCTTTCATCTAAATCTTCATTTTCGAGATTCATTTTTAAAAGTCAGTTTTTTGAAGTTCATTATGATAAAACCTTCCTATGATTTGTTTTTTGTCTTGATCGATCAATTCATACGTGGGAGGTGATGTGCTGTTTACTTTATCAACGATGAATATCTCGTTAGTCCAATAGCCGACGTAACAATGATTTATATTTAAAAATACGAACTCGATCTCCAACTTTGAATTTGGGTTTAATATTCAAATTGATAATCTCGTTTTCCAAGTTGTTTCGAGTGTTGACGGACTTTATGATATTCGGGTTATTAGAGGCTTGCGTTGGCGTCACACCTATAGACGAATGTATTTTGTTATTGTATTCGTCGACAACAACTGGTAATATTTTAAGCCATTTTTGAGATTTCAATTCCGTGAATTTCTTGAATAATTTGCTTTTAAGAGTCCTGTTGAATCTTTCTATCACTACAGCCTTACCTTCGTTATGCGTGCTGTAAATTTCAAACCCCAGAGATTTCACATTTCTGTTGTAGACTTCGCTTCCTTTATCAACCCACAACTTTAGGGGTCGTCTGTCGGATTGTTTCATTATGGTTTCGAATGCTTGTTTGACAGTCAGACCCGATTTGTTTTTCAAGGGAAAGACCCAAGCGTATCTCGTGTATATGTCGATCACCGTCAAACAATACTTGTACCCTCTCTCGACTGGCATGTTGATTAAATCGGCTGACCAAATTTCATCTTTATCAAAAACTTTGACTTTGAGGTAATGTTTGTTTTTTCGAAATTCTTTGTGAATCACGTCTGCTATGCCCATACCCAATTTCAATTTTGCCTTCAAGAGTTTTATGATAAGAGCCCTCTGTAATTTCTCTTTGAAAGTGGGATTGGGAATATTTTCAAGTTCGTCTATCATTTGTTTGTCTGCTTGGTGTCTGAATGTTATGTCTTTGTTTCTGTACAGTATGTCGTGTTTGAGCGCTGCTGCGTCAACTCTATTAACGGGTTCTTCCCCTGGTTTGGGATTATCATTTTCGTCTAAACGCAGATCTAACCTAGGCCTGGACCTGTATAATTGTGCCCTGGGAGATGTTTTTCTCCGGGATATTTTGTCCATGGGAATCCAGGAAGAGAACCCAATGACTTTTGAATGTCTCCCGCACCGAAATACGTTTTAGGGCTTTGTGCAATTATCATTGACATTTTTATCCAATATTTTTAATACCATTGCCCTTTTTGTTTTCTAATCTTTTATTTCGCATTTCTCTTATATGTTCCTGAGGAAATGAGGGATTTGTTGTTTGAGACAAAATTGGCCACTTTGGGGATGAGAGATGTTAGCGCAGAGAAGAAACCGTCTCCTTCGAATTTTTTTTGTTCGTGTTTTAAAAGACATAAAAGACATTTTTAATGCGGTTATTTTATACTGTATTATTTTTAGTGATTCTTGTCTGTGGTTTGGGTAATTTATAATACAGTTTGGGGTGGGAGTGTGTTATAATACATTTTAACAGTTTGGGGAGTCTGTTATAATACATTTTTAACAGTTTCGGGAGTCTGTTATAATACATTTTAACAGTTGTGTCTTTTCGGATATGACGCATTGAAAAAGCTGCGCATGCGCAGAAGGGAAATGCGTCATATCCGAAAAGACATATACTACTTTTATTATCCGATTTGAACAATTTTGGTGTCAAATGATAGAATTAAAGTTTATCTAAAACTTGTGTAGGACAGAATTTTGATTTTCGGTTTTGCCTTTTTTGTACGACCGGATATTTTTTTTCAAAGTTTGAAGGCGTATATCTCATGACCTTGACCTTTGGTGACCTTCGTATTTACAATGATGATAATTTGTGACCTTGTCTATCTGATGACCTTTTGACCTTTGGGGTCAGACAACTATTTTCGATTTTATAGGGGTTTAAAAATGGTCCTTTTTGAACCTCTGCAATGCTGTATCTCGTAGCCTAATAGTGATATTAGCAATAATTCTTTCGATTTCACAATGCTGAGATTCTGGGCTTTCCAGTGATATACAACATGTCTATGTAAAATTCTATTCGTTTAACATTGCGGTACCAACTTTAATTTGGTTAATGAGATGTCAGTATAGATAAAATTCCTGAGTTTGACATGTCCGTTAAAATACCATTCTCCCCAATTTCTATCAGAAAGTTCGTCAACTCCAGGCACTTTTAGATATTTGCATTTAGAGATGCAGAAAAGTAATGTAATTAGAATAGACCAACTTCGTATGTACCTGAATGTCGTAACACGCCCTGCATCAGTACTGTTATTGAATTCTTGACAGAGCTCACAAACGAAACTATACATGGTATGGATATTTTTTAACTATGTCGTTTCTATACTCCGCGGTCATTAGATTTTAAATATAAAATGGCACAATTTTGAAAGACAGGATTTGCGTAGAGGTGTGCCACTATGACTGACTACGGAAAGTACTGGTATGCTTAGTATGATCGATTTTCATAGGATTTTCTGCATTGTTTTGTATAACCTTAACGTCATACTATGACACTTTAAATCATGCAAATTTGCCATATTTTCTTATTTCTTATCTGATTTTCATCAAACTTGGTATGTATGTGTATATCCCAATTCTAAATTTGATGGAAATATTAAATTTTTGTGCGCATGCGCATTACCAACTTACTTATTTCTTATCCAAATGTTATCAAACTTTGTATGTAGTTGTATAATCAAATTCTGAATTTGAAGCAAATATTGATTCTTGAAATTCATCAAGCTGGGTATGTAAGTTTATGATCAAATTTTTTAAGATGATGGAAATTTTGAATTTTATTTAAGATGCCAAATCTTAAGATAAAAGTCAACAAATGAGTTGTAAAAACTGGGATTAAGAAATTGGGTTTTAGAGTATCCATTAACACCTTTTGGGCACAATAAAAGATATTGTATCACTGTAATAGCAATCACATTTTATAATAGCAAAATAAGACATTAAAACATTATTCGATGGTCTGAAAGACAAATATCAACATAACCGGCATATAGAATAATTCTGAATTAATATCACATCGAAAATAAATAGTTCTGAAAAGTACAAGACTAAGATGTGAAATAATTTTGTGTATCAGTGTTTTAAAAAAGACAGACTGGGTGTGTGTATGATATTATCTTTTAAAACAATGATTTATTTAACTACAGATGAAAGTTTGTTCAATTTTGGTCGTGTAAGAACAGTAGATTTAAATTTGACTCCACTAATAGGAACTGCTACTTAGAAGCGTTATTTTGGCGTTGAATAGTCAGAATATGTGATAGTTAAATGTGTTATCCATTAGAAAACGTGCAAATAATTCTTTTGTTTTAATAGAAATATGTGAATATACATTAACTTCATTACTATCTCTACTATCAACGGTCATTCAGTGGAAGTAATTGTTAGCTTGTCATCTGTCGACTACCCAGTTTCAGTCAACCATGGCATCTTGTTCTGTTGAAGCTTTTAGTATTATTAATCGCCAGTCACTAACTTTTAAAACACGTGTGAGGATTAGTGTCGCGTGCAAATTTTGTATAGTGTATCCTTATAGATACTGTTTACAGCACATTATGTGTATGGAAGTCAGAGAGGAAAGTTATACTGGGTTCCAATTGGTTTGGAACGTGTAAGGTCAAGCCGTATTTTATGTATATTGTATTTCACAAAATTTATCACAAATAGTAAACTATAAGTAAGTAAATGCATGTTTTATGGCTTCGCTATTTCTTGATCCTTGTTGAAAATGGGGCGCAAAAGCAAATTTAAATTGTCTATTTTAAATAATCTTAAAAAAACTAGAACCAACAAAAAGAAGATAATATTAAAGTCACTAAACATGAATCGAAATTGAATAGTGAATCATGGACACGTGATTTAGGTTTAAAACAAAAGCATGATAATACAATTGATAAAGAACTTATGCGCGTGAATGAAAGACAGGAAGAAAAGAAATATCAATGTGCAATTCAAAATAAAGATAATCTCTCAAACGAAGAAATCTGTAATGAAAGAAGAATTTTCATCAGGGTAATGCAGAAAGATATCTTTTTAATTCTGGCAAACAATGTACAGCAATGTCTCTAATCAGTATTGTTTATTCTAAAATAATAGATATAAATATATGGACTAGTTCTACAATGGACAGGATATTAGATTTAGCCATCTCCAGAGTTTACCTGACATAAAACACGATTATATTATGATCAATGAACTTCTTACAACCATTGAAATTGAAGATAAATGTTTTGAATTAGCTATAAGTAATGATCCTAAAACAGGATTGATATTGAATTCCGAACCAAATTTTGGTTGTTCATTACATGATGCACTTATCAATACTTTAAATTTTTTGTTACTTTCAAAAGTAATACCTTTTCCAGTATAAAAGGACATGGCAACTTTTATGCTTTCGACAGTCACAGCAGGGATATGTATGTGTACGGAATCTGGCACAAGCATATTGTTAAAATTTAAGGATTTAACTGATTTGCACTTCCACCTTTTTCAGCTTAGTGAATCCTTGATGTGCAATGAGAATGGGGTCTTTGAAATAACTGGTATAAATGTTGTTTATATCAAACATGAGAAAAATAAGTAAGTAGCTTCAACCTCCATTCAAAAAATTTCTAAACTCGATATACTAATGAATGAAACGATCAATGATAATAATAATGATGTTCAAATAACCCAGATGGAAAATAATACATTTATATTCAACCCTATTGACTAGAAAGAGGCAATTATGTAATATGATAAATTTACAAGTCGATGGAAATGAATTAGAAAAAAATAAGAGAGAACATATAAAATTTGTATCAATAAAAGGGGATGGTAATTGCCTTTTCCGTTCATTATCATATTGCTTAACATCAAAAGAAGATTTTCATAGATTTTTACGATTAGCCGTTGTTAACCATATAAAATCAAATAGTCGAGTGTTTAAAGGTTTACTACAAGAACAATATCATTCAATTGACGATTACATTAAACATTCAAGACTGCAATTATTGGGAACTTGGGGTACTGAATTTGAAATTTTAGCCGCAGCTAACTTTCTACAAACCGATATTTACACGTATTCAAATAAAAAGTGGTTACAGTTTCCTGTATGGCGGAAAAATAAATTTTAAGAAGCAGTCGGAATATATTTAAATCATAAAAACTCTAACCATTATGAAATAGTTAAAAATGTTAAAAGGACTGAATTAGAAATTAATAATGATCTTGGATCTGTAAGAAATTCTTTAAAAACACCTGAAAAAATACAGGAAATCAAGAAAGAAACGTGGTCATAAATGGTCACCAACTAAGAGGATTAGATCTACTAGGCAAGAAGAAAGAAATCGACAAACAGTTTTCGAGAATTACTGGCAATCTATAAACCAAACAAAAATTTCCAAAACTGAAAGTAAAAGTAGGGAACAAAAAATCTATAATAAAAAGAAACAGAAATTATCATATGATAAATATTATAAACCCAAATTGCAAGGTAAATATGAAACTTTATTAAAACCATTAATGAAGAAAAAATACAAAAGAAAATTACAATTAGCATTATAAAAAATGGATAGAACACAGTTAGAATCTAAATTGAAAAACAAATATGAGGCTATATTTAAATCTATTTTAAAAGAAAAATATTTGACAACATTGGGACCTGCATTAGCATTGAAATATGAATTACAATTAAAACCGAAAATGAAATCGAAATACGAATTAGAATTAAAACCGAAAATGAAATCGAAATATGAATTAGAATTAAAACCGAAAATGAAATTGAAATATGAATTAGAATTAAAACCGAAAATGAAATTGAAATATGAATTAGAATTAAAACCGAAAATGGAATTGAAATATGAATTAGAATTAAAGACTAAACTAGCAGAAAAATATGGATCTAAACTGAAGATGAAACTAGTGCAAAAATACAAACTTGAGTTAAGGTATAAAATACTATAAAAATTGATATTAAAATACCAAACAGATAAAAGATATAGATGGAAGCAAAAACAGAAAAGTATTTCTAAATTCAGGAGAAATATTGGTAACAAAGCTAAACTTAATAAGAAGCAAAAAGAAATCAGTTTAAGAAAATGACTAATATCACTGATGTTATAGCAAAATTAAAAAAAGACACCGCTATCGGTCCAATCTATGTTTGTTGCGTTTGTCATCGATTATCATTCAAAAATCAAGTAAAGGAATGCAACGAAGAAATCTATGAGACCAAAAGCAAGCATGTGGAAACAGTAGCGAAAAAGTGTATTAACAAATCTCATTATCACGTATGTAGCGATGACTGCACAGAGGAATGTGCTTTTCCTAATAATTATAAATGTTTGTGGATATGCTTTTCATGTCACAGAAAAATTTCAAAAGGCAAAATTCCTGCCGAATCTACTGTAAATAACATGGTTCCATTCCACAAGAGTTAAATTGTCTTAATTCTATTGAAAAACATTTAATATCGAAAAACATTGTATTTTTAAAATTAGTAAATGTAACACCACAAAATGATAAGAAAATAATAGGTGAAGCTGTCTGTGTTACAAGTAATTTAACAGAAATGACAAATGTATTACCTAGATGCCAAAGTGAGGATGAATTAATACGCGTAAAAGAGGAAGCTTTCAAATAAATCTTATTATCAATACCAAACTGTCACAAAGAATAATATTTAGAATGCCTTAAATTATTTGAAAATTCATAATCAATATTATCAAGATGTTGTTTTGAATCAGAATTGGATAAGTGAACAAGATATTGATCAAAGTATATCAAACGACACGATAACGGAAATAAACCAGATAAAGATGACAAATGTGACACTGATAATAGCGACTTGGATGAAATTGATGAAAACATAGGTAGATACACGTGTGAAACATTAGGTAGCTCTTGTTTGCAACCAGTCGACGTTTCGACAAGCAAATTAAATAATTCTGACAAAATATTCTCCATCTCCCCTGGTGAAAATAACAGACCTATCAGAGTCTTAATGGACAAAAGTAACGAAGCGTGTACTTTCCCATACCTATTCCCTGACGGTAAAAATACATTTTCGGAGATACGAAATGTACGGATAACTTTAGGCAAATATCTTAAAAATAGACTAATGTCAGTGGATACACGCTTTGCATCATGCTCAGAATATTTATTTTATGCGCAGTATATATATGAACTGCAGCAAATATTATCAGGGACAGCTATAGCCTTAAGGCAGGGTAGGATTGGTGGAAATATGATTACAGCTAATATGTTAACGCAAGACGAGCCATTACTGGTTTGAAATGTTTCATTAGTAAATGTATAATATTTTAGTATATTCGTTTCGTATTATGTTAGTAATATTAACATTAATTCTCCCAGAGGCAGAAACAGGAAGTTCTCCCCAATTTTTCTCATCAGCCATTTTAGTTTCTGATTTTGTAAGAGAAAGTCTTCTTTCTGTATCCTCTCCGAGAATTAGACATATTTAACGCCGAGTGATCTACTCTTCAGGTACAATTATGTTTTAAGATTCATTTCTTTGTATTTCAAGAGCACTTTTAAGAGCTGACGATTTGCATTGTTCAATCAACGCGTGTTATCAAAAATGATATGTAAGCGATAACGCATGGTAAATATCGCAGAGGCATATAGTAAAATAAGACTCAATTATTAGTTTTGTGCTAAAATAGTATGTTTATTGCTTGTAAATGGCCTTTCCCCATAAATGTTATACATGCTGTCCTAAATATTTCTGGTGAGTGCAAATAAGAGTTTACTGTGCACAGGAGTTTTTCGAGAATGTTCAAACAAGGGAAGTTAACTACAATTTTCAAGTGGTTATCTCCCATATATGTTTAATATATTTTCTTTACATCCCTTTATGTACAAACCCTTATTATTGTAAATTTATTGTAAAAATTGTAACAACAACTGTAACTACTTAACTTGAGAATAAATCTGTTAAATAGATGCCTATTCCTTGATTAGGAGTTCTTGTTAGAAGAATTTCCGGTCGACACTCGTTGATTGGGATCCGGTCCAAAATTTCTGAAGAGAGTAGGAATAGATTTTAGTTCAGCTTTGGTCCCTGGTCATCAGAGTTAATCAACGGAGAAATATGTCTGGTTCTGGAGATAACAGAGATAACAGCTGATATACATGTAAGAGAGTATCTACACCGCCACCAAACCGATCGCCATCATGGTCAGCTTCAGCCTTAGAAGAGAATCCCCTAAATGAAGATAATTCAACTCCAGCTCTACAATTAACATTGTTACTGTTACTGACCAGTGAACTTCTCTGTCTATAATGAACTTAGTATTGAATTTTTCATCTCATTTCACAAATATTCAAAATAAAATTTTCAAGTGTACCTATAGATGTATATCTCTTGTCTTAGAATTTCCTTGGTTTCAAAGAAACATAAGGTTCATTTAAGAAGAAACACAATTATTTTTTTCCCCAAATATTTCCTACAAGACATTTCGGACTGAAAACTGCTCTTTGTAAACCATATTTCTGAATAATCATTTTTAAATGTTTGGCAGTTTCCACATGCAATATAAGACTCTCGATCATATTTTTAAATTATTTTATTAATTTATTTATTTACAGTTCAAAAATGATTTCACAGTGCCACGATGGGGCATCCTGTATGAGTGGTGATCGTGGTGGAGTCCAACGGTTAATACAGAACACTCTTCAGTCTGAAATACACATCCTGTATGAGTGGTGATCGTGGTGGAGTCCAACGGTTAATACAGAACACTCTTCAGTCTGAAATACCCTATGTGCATTGTAAAAACCATAAGTTACATTTGGTAGTAATTGACTTGGTCTCCAGTAATCCCAAACTTTCTGAGTTTTTTGACCAATTGAGGTTACTAAACAAGTAGGTCATGCTCTAAAACGTGCTTTAGACACAAGGTGGTCAGGACATTATGACGTTATAATTGCAGTTGTTGAAAACTATGACGCTCTTTTAAGCGCATTGCAACAGGTCAGTGATAATGATTCCCTACAGGTAAAATTTGATGTTGATACGGTAGCGACAGCAACTTGTCTAGTGAAGGTCGTAACTGGTGAATGAATAGTTATGTGGTGGTAGAAAAAGCAAATGGATCCATACGAGTCTGTTTAGATCCAAAATACCTTAATCAGACAATTAAGAGACATCATTATCAGTTACCCACAGCAGATATTTTCTAAGATGCCAGGTGCTAAATTCTTCAGCAAGTTAGATGCTTCCAGGGGATTCTGGCAGGGTAAGCTAGACAAGGAGAGTACTTACTAATTAATTAATTTTTTTTTTTTTTTTTTCGTTTCGTCCACACCTTCCTGAGCTTAGACTGTAGTAGTTGCAGCAACGTTTCAAATTTCATAGACCTTCTATATAGGCGACGATGTGCATAAATGTAAATTAGAACATTTTTGCAAAACCGGAAGTGCCACAGTTCAACATGTGCAAAAAGTCGAAAATCGGCTCTAGAAGGCGCATTTTTGCATCGATTTTCTTTGGGTTTTCATTTTTACGATCTACCTGTAATTTCTGACCTGATAGCACTTAAAAAATTACGAAATTCGAAAATTCGTCGCTCTCTTTTTTCGATCAAATATTTCGATTTTTTTGGAACTTTTTTGCTTTTGCATCGATTGATCTGAAATTTTAAATGCAAAGAGACTTTATTAATGTTATTAATATGATACATTCAAATTTTGTACTTCATTTCCTATTTTAATACAATCAAGCGATAATTTCGGTCTTTCTTTATATGAAGCTCTGTGTGAATGTTTAGCAATCTTTGAAGCATGCTTAAAAACAATACATTTGCTATAATAAAGCAAGATGATTTTGTATTTGATTCTCATGCAAGGGACAATCACGGAATAGTAAATGAATTTGGAACTAGTATATTGATTGAATATTGTGATATAATGGATGTTTATATGCATTGTTTACATCTTAGCCAATCTTTGATGTGTAGTGATCAAGAACAATATGAAATAACAGGAATTAATGTTCATAACTTAATAAAATTGGGAAATAATACAAATAAGATTCAGCCGGGAATTCTTGAAATTAACTCTGATGATGTAAACTCTAATTTAATTAGAGATGAAGATATTAGTATAACGAATCTAACTAAAACTGCTTTTGTATTTGAACCACTTACCCACAGTAAAAGAGTGCAGCTTTGTAAACTGTTCCAATTATCGGCTACAGAAACAAATTCATATCCGCAAATGGAGAAATGTACTTTAACGAATCCAACTCAATTTGTATCTATCAAAGGAGACGGTAATTGTTTCTTCAAAAGTATATCATAATCTTTAACCGGTAGTGAAGAATTTCATGGCAAAATAAGAATAGCTATTGTAGAATACATGAGATCAAACAATGTAAGCTTCCTACCACGAAGATATGCTTCTGTTTCTGATTATATCATAAAATCAAAAATGAGGAAACTCGGTACATGGAGCACTGAAATGGAAATATTTGCAGCTGCTGATTTCTTGCAAACGGACATATATACATTTTTTGGTGAGAAATGGCTAAAGATACCTGTTTTGCACTCAACTATTAAATATACACCAGAAGCTATCTATCTAAACCACAAAGACGGTAATCATTATGAAGTTGTTAAAAATGTGTAATAATAATGTTGGGAATTATAATCTGATAGCTATTGACAAAAACAAACAATACAATCATGAAAACCTAACACAAAAGGTCAGAAAAAGAAAACGTAGAGGTCATAATTGGTCACGTAGAAAAAGTGAAGTTCAATATGAACACAAAAAAAATCAGAAAAAATGCAGGAAATAATAAATATTATGGAGGCAGAAGAATGAAACAAATTAATTATCTAAAAAAAAGAAGAAAACAATTATATAGGCTAAATAAGACAGATAAGAAGCTTCAAGAGAAATATCAAATTAGACATAAGTATGAACTGAAACAAAAATACATATCGTATTTAAAATTTAGACTACGTCAGAAGTATAAGCGTGAATTACAGGCAAAACTTAAAC